TCCTCCATGTAGCCCTCTAAGATGCTCCCATCACAAGGAACAGGACCCTCCTATGGCTTTTCAAACTACTATTTCTGTGCCTCTTTCACACTGTTTGTTACATACAAGGAATGTCTTCTGTTACCTCCTTAATCATAAGCACCTTAACATGTACATCATAAGTCATTCCTCTTCTTACATCCAAAACAATTCAGGCAGTTTCGCATTTAACAAAAATTATAAAGAAAAAGAAAAACTGTTACAAATGAATAAACACCTAGATTTTACCTAGAGAAAAATTCCCACTTCTGATGCAATACTCTGAAGATGAAGGTCATTAGGAAGTTGTCCAAGAACTTCAAGATTCCCAGATGGATTCCCTAATGGATGGAAAAATGCAAACCACTCCCCCCACCAAGATTGGCATTGTGGCACAGCAAGTTAAGCGGTTGTCTATGACACCAGCATTCCATATCTGAGCACTGGTTTGAGTCCTGCCTCCTCTTCTGGCTTACAGCCCTAGGAAAGCAGAGGAAAGTGGCCCAGGCACCTAGTCTGCTGTCAGTCACAGCGGAGACTCAGATGGAGTTCCAAGCTTGCAGTTTCCATCTGGCTCAGCACTGATAACTTAAGCTATTTGGGGAATGAACCAGAAGATGAAAGATCTTTATCTGTCTTTTCCTCTCTGTCTCTCAAATACATTTTTTGGAAGATTTGTTTATTTGAAATGTACAGTGACAATGAGAAAGGAAGAGTTCGACTGAGAAAGTTCTTTCATCTGCTGGTTCATTTCTCAAATGGCTGCAGAAGCCAGGGCTGGGCCAGGGCAACGCCAGGATCCAGAAGCTCCATCCAGGCCTTCCATGTGGACACAGCATCCCAAATACTTGCGCGGTCTTCCACTTCTTTTCCAGGTATGTGAGCAAGGAATCAGATCGGATATGAAACAGCTAGGACAAGAACAGGTGCCCAGAGAGGATGTTCGCACTGCAAGTGATGGCTGAATCAGCAGTACCACAACCCCAGCCCCCAAATCAATCTTTCAAAAACCCAAAAAGCAGAGGTCTCATCATTCCTTTCATATACGACCTTCCTTTTTCATTCCCCTGCCACTGATGTCTAACTCTCAGTCTGGAAAATTTCTATCCTCAGCTAAATGCCTCACATTTCAGGTGAGAATAGATCCGTCCACTATGAAAAGGCTGGAACTGAAGACAGACCCTTAGATCAGTGGCCACACAACTTACCAAGAAAAGGACTTCACATGCTCCTGAATCATGACCCAGGTCTGGCCAAAATCATCCGACTTCCACAGCTGCAAAGATGAAAACAAGAAGTAGGTGTGATGTAACCTGAATGGCATCACCAACCCAACAGTGAAATTTGGTGTTACGCTGCCCAGGATCTGTGCACACAGGCACCCAGGTCACCAGAACCAGCTCAGGTTGGTCCTTCCAAAACCAAGCTCCGCAGGAGGGAAGCACACACCTGCACTTGCGCCTCTGTGTTCTTTCTCATAGGCACAAAAGCTTTCAACATCACCCAGAAGGGGAAACAGTGTGATCTGCTTTCCACGTCCTGATTGCCAGAAACCATTTCACGCAATCAGGAAAGGCACCCAAGCAGTGGCATTTCCGATGGAAGGAGGGGAAATGTTCTCACAAATCTATAGTGGGGTAGGCAGCACTGGCTTAGCAAGTAAGACATTCATATCTCTTAACCCAGGGTGTGGGTCTGACATTTGTCTTGGGTTCCTGCCTCCAGCTTCCAGCTCATGCAGATCCTAGGAGGGAGCGGTAATAGCTTAGGTTCCTGACACCCCCACGGGAGACCCGGATTGTATCCCTAGCCCTATCCATCGAGGGCATCTGGAAATTGAGCCAGTAGGTGTGGGCTCACTCTTGTTCTCTCTCTCTCCCAAATGGATAACTGTTTAATTAAAAAGAAAACAATTTATATAATATTTGCAGTAGATAGCAGCATTCTTCAAAACAGCCAAAAAGTGAAAACCAAATATTCATTGATGAATGAATGGATAAGTAAAATGTGGTAGATGCACAGAATGGAATATTGTTGGCCTTAAAAACCAACAAAATTCTGACACAGGCTATAGGATACAGCATGGGTGAACCCTGAGAGCATGATCCGAAGTGGCATCAGCCAGTCACAAAAGGACAAATGCTGAATGATTCAGGTACCAAAACTGGGCACAGCCATAGAGGCAGAAAATGGAATGAATGGCAGCTCCCTGGAGTCTGAGGTCACAAGTGGGGAGGAAGGTGCAGTCAATTCAAGGTGGACAGAGTATGTTTCACAGGATAAAAGGTTGTGGTGATGGCCACACAGCTCCATAAATGAACCTTATACCACTGAATTATACACTAAAACCATGGGTAAGAGAGGGCCTAGCATTATGGCATAACAAGTGAAGCTGCCACCTGCAATGCTGGCATTCCATATTGGCACTGGACCACATCCCAGCCAGCACTCTGCTTCCCATCCAGCTCCCTGTTAATGACATGGGAAAAGCAGCCAAGGATTGCTCAGGTACTTGGGTCCCTGCCAACCACATGGGAGACCCAGATGGAGCTCCCAGTTCCTGGTATGGACCTGGCTCAGACCAGGCCATTACAGTCACTGCAGCAGTGGACCAGTGGATGAAGATGGATATATCTCTTTGTGTGTGAATGTATGTGTGTGCACATATGACTGATTTTCAAATAAGCAATAATAAGCAAAAATCTTTTTAAAAAAAACTGTTAAGACAATAAACTATTATATATATCTTACTATAATCTAAAATAAACAAATACATAAATAAATGGGAGTAGGTCTACAACAGGATTTGATAGCTGAAACTAAACGCAGAGGACACTGGCAATGTCCAGAGAGCTCGCAGGCAGTGGCACATCTGGACACAATCATTAGTAATTGACTGGCTGCTGACCTTTGTAAAAGCACATCAGCTTCCACAGAGGCAACCTGAAGGTTCCCCAGACCAGGCAAACAGGTATTAAGAAGCATGAGACCAAGAATAACAAAAATCCACCTCCACTAGTACACTGACCCAGCTCATTCTTGGGTTACTCCATCAGGCAAGCAAAAATAATGAGATCTGTGTTAAACCAGCCTCCCCCCACCCCCCGCCAAAAAAAAAAAAAAAGAAGAAGAAGAAGAAGAAACAGGCCAAGATTCCTCTAAGCCAAAACACTGAAGACTCTGCTAATCTAACCACACGGGATCTACAGGACTTACACTCAACTAATATTTTTGACTTGCCACGTCTTAACCCAGAGTGTAAATTACATTCAGGCACTCTTCTCATCTGTTAGGTTTCCTTCAAATCTGAACTTAAGAAGGAAAACACACACTTTCAGGTTGTACCCACAACCCAGGCAGACCTACACATCCACAAAGCAAGAGTACTAAATCAAGGTAACCATAGGCAAAATGGTCTGTTGAAGGTGAAGGATGGGCAAGTGAAGGAGAAAGTTGACAAGGGGCTCCCAAAGAGCTGAGATTGCAAACATTGATATGTGGCTCTCACTGGTGAAATCCCAGAGCCTTCATTTACCCTGAGGACTGAGCGGTGTCCGTGTGTGTACTGGGAAAGGTGAGCTGTTACACAACCAGGGACTGCCAAGTGCTGGCTGCTGATGGCTGGCAGCAGGAGACTGGGAGTGTCAGCAATCTATTTTCCTTTACCTGTGACAGGTGAAACTCTAGCCACAAAGGCTGAGCCTGAGAGGAGAAGGGAGGGGCCGAAGGCAAGGTCATTCAAAGGACACACAATCCACCAAGGCAGAGTGGTGCCTCAGAGCAACCCTCCCCCGACCCGCCACGCCTGCAGTCTAGCAGCTCCTTACCTGCTTGTTGGGGTGAGATCTGTCGAAGCCCAGGAGAAGGTTAGAAGCCTTAGTGTGGAGCAGGAGGTCAGCTGCCCGGAATGGGATGGAAAAGCCATGGATGGTATTGCAGAAGTCGAATGTGATCCAGAGGTACTGAATGTAAGCATCTGCAAAGATGTACTGCGGAGAGAACAAAGAAGCTCACAACAGGTCCCGGCAGGGCCACCTGACACTTCCTGAACCACATACAGGTACACACATGGGCAGAGGGCCAAGCAGCACCAACAGGATGCTGCGTCCCTACAGGGCTTCCACAAGGCTTTCTCCCCATGTCCTAGTGATCAAAAGTCACTGTGCATGCCAAGCAAATTCAATAAAGAACAGGCTGCCAAGAAGACATAAAGGGAGACCATGAAGCGGATTTGTTTCACCAGGCAACAAAGCTTTTGCAGTTTCTGCTCTCAACTTGGTTATTCTCACTGTATGGGAGTCACTGAGTGACAATCACAAGGTGGCAAGTGTCATTTGGAACGGAAAGACACCTGGTCCTCAAGCTGGCTGAATATAGGTAGAATAACTGTCTCTCCTCATAGAGTTACAGGGGAGAGACTTCCAGGAAAATCAAGTCATAAGCATCTAGCAAAAAAACCTTCTCCTACTGGCTACCCTGCCAGGCAACCATGCAGCTCTGTGGGTCAAGCTGCCACTGTGGCTGCCACACATACTGAGGGTAGGAAGCGGCTTTGGTGAGTAGGAGCCTCATCTTACTTTGCTTGGGCATAGGTGAGTGGCTTTGTACAAGTTTAGCTGGACAGTGGCTGTGGTGAAAAGACTCCTCAGGGATCAAGGTGATCCAGCTTCCCAAATACGCTCTACAAGACCCATCCTGGGCCCGACTGCTGGTGGTGCCACATGGAAAGCCAGAACTCTTTCTACGGATTGCAGCTCATGAGACACACAGGCACACCCAAGGCTAGTCACAAATGCAAGGTTAACTGAGAAAAGTCAGACCCAGTCCTATGAAGAACTATCCAGCTTGATCCACCAGACAGCACTGCTCAGAAGAGACAGGCCTTCAAGGACAATCAAGATCTTCCTAAGGAAACAACATCCCAAGTCTACAACACAAAGAAAGCAGGGAAGCACAGCATGGGTTTGACAACAAACTTGAATGCCTGGAAAAATGATTAAAAAAACAGGGCCAGGCTGGTGTTTGTGGGGCTCCGGGAGTGGGGGTAATTCCAAGGGACACTATGCAGGAAGCAGAAACTGGAGCAAGGCGGAATCCAGCTCAACACACAACAGCCGTTCACACCCCAGAAGTCAACCGAGCTGATGGAATCTGTCCAAGAACTCCTGCCCTCATCGGCTCCATCCGATCCAGCTGAACCACAGTTGGGAATCCTTTCAGCACTAATGGCCTTGACCATGACAAACAACACTGCACTTGTTCCCATGCTGCTTTCACAGGTCTTTACTACTTTTCATGCACAAACTCTCTTGCCAAACCCAGACTGCGAACTTCCCAGGGACATATTCTTATGTGTTCTTTCTCTTGTATTTCCTCCCTAGCCTCTAATGTAAGTCTCCACACTCTACAGAAGCCTAATTAAGTCTAACTGGAAAAGGTAGTCAATGTTCTGAAGGCAAACGCTACTCCAAGCCAATGCAAAGTTATGAAAACAATGATGATCCTTTGAGGATTTCCATCATGATAATACTCCCTAGAAATAATACAGCCCATTTTCCTGCTCCCAAACCATCTTGGTTATTGGGAAATGGAGCACTTCGTTCATGAAAATGCATTCCAGGGTTTCCTGCAGTTTCACATAGAAGAATCTAAAAAATCACATACCCAGCCATAGCAGTTAGTGTTATTTATGATAATAGCTCAATTTTTGCAAGAACATTTAGTCTGTGCCAAGCACTGGGCTCAATGTTTTGCATGCCTTACCTCATTTAGTTCATTCAGTACTCACAGCAACTTGATGCTTTGGGTATTATTGTTAGAACCTCTCTTCTAATAATGAGGGCACTGAAGCCTAGAGTGGCTAAATGCCTAGGGTGTTGCTAGATGGGCAGCATTTATACCCACGGCTGGCTGGGCCAGGCGCTTTTCTGAACCATCCATCAATGTCACCTCTTCCCTTGTAACTAAAAGGCAGCATGTCTTGAATTCACAGGTCTCCTACAGGATTATCTAACTCATTTATGCATCAACTCTCCTAACCCACTCTGTTTCTACTGAAAATTCTCTCTGCCTTCCCTCCTGCAATTCCCCACTCTCAACCCTCCACTGTTCACCTAAGTCTCTGTCTCCATCCTGGATGTCCTTTGCCACCGCCTTTGTCACCTACTCCACTCCCTGCCGCTAACCCAGCCTGCCCTTCCACATGAATTCAACCACTGCCTCTATGAAGAATTTGCAGAGACTCATAATTTGGATGTGATCTGTTCCCCAAAAACACCGTATATTGAGAAGTGGAGGAACCTTTATGAGGCACTGGGTCTGGCCTACTGGGGACTCAGCACTGGGAAGGGATTCATGTCACTCTTTGGGGCCCTGATTGGCTCTCTCAAGGATGCTCTAAAAAAAAAAACCATATCAGCCTCCTCTGTTTTCTCTGGCTCTAGTCTCATCATATGCCTTCTCCAATTCACATATGTTCAGTGCCATCCACCATAATATAATGTAGGCAAAAAGGACCTCAGCAGACAATAAATCAAGGAACTACCTGACTTCAGTCTTTCAACTTCCATAACCATGAGCTCAGTAAGCCTCTTTTCTTTATAAAGCACACAACGTTGGGTAATCTGTTATAATAACACAAAATAGACTACTGAACTGGCTTTCAAATCTACAGGCTACCCCTATCTTATGAGATTTACTTGCATTACCTTCTTGACCTTAGCCTCTACCCTTTGATGGATCAAGATACACTACTATGTCTAAAACTGCATTTTTCAACACCTCCCACCAGTACGAAATTTGCCAAGTTCCACCCACACTACACCTTTCCCCAATCCCACAACTGGCAATTAGGAATCAGGTTGGCAACTTATTTCCTTCCTACAACCATCCATTTAAATCATCTGCCTACCCTGCTATGCTTCCCATTAAAATAATTTTTAGGAATTGGTATTGTGGTATACAAGGGTAAAGTGTGGCTTGCAGCACCAGCATTCCATATGGGCGCTGGTAAGTCCCAGCTGCTCACTAATGCTTGGGCCCCAACTTCCCAGTAGGAGACAGATGAAGCTCCTAGCTCCTGGCCTGGGTCTGGCCCAGCCCCAGCCATTGCAGTCATTTGGGAAGTTAATCAGCAAATGAAAGATCTCCTTTCCTCTTCTATCCTCTCCTCTCATCTTTTTCCTTTTCTCTTCTTGCTATCACTCTCTGTGTAATCTGCCTTTCAACTAAATATATCTTTAAAAGATCATTTTCAAAAATCTGCCCTTTCCTTTTTATTCCAGGACTACCAGCATGCTGTGTGTATATTTCAAGTTATGAAATACTTGGAGAGTGGTATAAGTTTGGTTGAGCAAGCAAATTCACCACTACATAGTTACCTTTCTAGAACCTTCCCTAAGCTTTCCTCTCCAGCCCATCATGGCCTCTCATGGCCCAACAAGATGCCATTCAGCTACTCCCTGGCTCCCAAAGTTCCTCAAGACAAAAGAATCTCTCTTCCCTGTTGAAATGGACCTAGCTGACCTCCCAAAGCAGCTCAGTGCAAATCTTCAAACCATGGGAAATCTCTCCACTCACTGTCCTGCTTGGGAAGCATCTGTTGGCCCCTGGAAGTTTCTGCCAAGTCCCTTCTCAAAACTTAGCAACTCTACCAACTCTGCTATCTCCACAGTGCCCACATGCCCATCCTGGAAGCACCATTCCTAATCCCAAGTACCCACAGACACTTCACTTTTCTGACCCAACCTTATCTGGTTTTCCCAGCTCTAATTATTTCCTTTATTTCTTCATTTCAGTAGAGAGACAACAGCTTGATGAGTTCCCATGTCCTGGCTTACTTCCCAAAAGCCCACATCCACCAAGGCTTGGTTGAGCCAAGGTTGGGAGCTGAGACATCAGTCCAGGACTCCCACAGAGGCATCCAATCTCTTGAGCCACTGGTACAGCATCAGCACAAAACAGGAATCAAACCCAGGCACCCCAATGTGGGATGTGGACATCTTAAGCAGCATCCTAACTGCAAGGCTAAATGTCCATCCCCCAGCTATAACTAGCTGCAAACACCATACATCACTGTAGCATACAAAGCTTCACGCTGGGACATACATGCCCCTTACGCACATGAGGAACATATGCAATGTTCTAGTCTGCTTGAAGGCTCCTATACTGCCTGGGTGCCGAGTTTACTAGGTGCCAAGACCACAGATTTGCCAACAGAACTGACCTACTGAGTGTTTCCTAGCTGCCACTGCAAGAGCGTGTTCACGTTCCCTAAGCCATCTAGTATTCCAAAGGAGTTTCTTCCTTCGGTTGGAAGCTGTGTTTCCTCTGGACATACAAAAATCTGTAGGAAGACAGCAATCAAAGCTTCAAGAGGTTCTGGTAGGTTGTCAATGAGACTTCTCACAAGAGCAGAAACCATGAGAACTTTGAGAGGAGAGGGGAGCACCAAAGAACAGCCTTTTAGCAACCGAAAACCAGAGGAAAGAGAAAGAAATGTTCCACCACTTCCACCAGGCAGAACCAAGCTCTGCCTGGAAAAAGGTGGGAGCCACTCTCCCATTTGCTGCCATCAGGGCTACAAAGCCCAACTGCACGTTCAGGGGCCTCATCTGAACAGTGTAGACATCTCTAGACACTGCCTCGCTGAGCACAGCACTCAGGCTGGTGGAACTGCCAGGTGGCCAGAGCTGCACAGAGTGGACCAAGAAGAAGGAAGTAGGCCAGTAGGCCAATACGAAAATAGATAGACCTAACCACTTCCAGCATTATCACAAGGCAGAGCCGGGAGACAGGAGCTGGACGCCTGTGTCCCCCCTTCTCACCCAGCCCACTGGCACTTGCTCCCCTCAGGATGTCCATGCTGCCCTCTCCTAACGTCTGATCCTCCCACAGCAGCTGCCAACTTTGATTTCAAACATTTCCAAAGCTCCTTGGCAGCCCCTTAAAACCTCTGCCCAGGTGCCTTGCATGCAGCCAGCACCCAGCTGCAGACAGCAAGGCGCCCGGCCGGTGTGTGCTGTCTCAGGAAGTGGTAAGTCTGGTAGCTCAATTTGCTCTCCAGAGGACAAAGGTAAAAGTCACAGAAGCAATCAACACAATAAGAGTCATCATTTCCTTCCGGAGCCATTGGGGAGGGGCACAGCCATCTCTGGGGATTCAGAACTCTCCAAGGAAGGCTGCCTCCCTGTTCACTCAGCCGGCTCCTGGCCACTGTTCCAACATTCAGCAAGCTCTCCAGCACAGCTGCCTTTCTTTGTTCTATTGCTCCACTCACACCAACTCTGAAGCCTCTCCCACTCCATTCAGCAGACAGGCAGACAGCACTGGGAAGGATCTAGAGATGTCTGACTACAAGGCAGACAGCACTTGGCCTACCAAGCCAGGCAGACCCAAAACTAATCCCTGGGCTTCTCCTTTCCTCCTGTTCCAACACCACAGCCCTGCCCTAGGCCTTCTCACACCCAGTGCTGCAAAGCTCTGATCCTCTGCGCGCACCAAGCCTTCTCCTGCAGATTCAACACCATCTTTCACACCTTCTGACTCCTCAGCCGTCACTCACCACAAACCCACAACCTGCAGACAGGAAGGAGGGAGTGCCTGCCTGCAGTACTGTTGTGCACCGGAGTGTGTGGCGAAGCCAGGACCAGGGGAGCTTAAACAGAAACTTGGTGGAGGGACAACATGGGCACACACAGGCTACAGCTTCAATAAGGGGCCTGCTGTGAGACGATGTGCAAAAATAATGACAAGATAAGGGCAACCTGATAAAGTAACACAAGTGCGATTCAACCCTTGAGAGGCAAGGGGCAAGGAAAGGTAACCACAGAAGGGTCAGCCCTGCCAGCCAGCAGGACCCAGAGCACAGCTCTAACCTCTCCTAAGCCCAGAGCACTGTGGGTAACGCAGCCGCCCTCCCCACTGCCACCTCTGGGAGCCCTCCAGGACCAGGCCAGGCCGGCCCCAGCACCGTGGATTGGAAGGAAACAGAGGCGGGCTCTCTGGGCTGCAGAGCCAGTTCGCACCGACAAACACAGTCACCTGGCTTTTCAGCTCAGGTGGACTGGTAAGCAGGACTGCTCCACTGAGAAGGCCAGGCAGGGCTGATGTTTAACCAGTCTGTGTCAGTAATGATTATTCCCCTTGTTACAAAACAATCGCTCTGGACCAATCGGTAATGAGCGTTGCCCTGAAACCTGGGAGTGGCCCCTGCCGAAGCCCCAGAAGCCTGGCCCCTTTTCACAAAAAAAAAAAGTCCCAGCACCACCATCAGCTACCCCAGTAGGGGGCTTCTGGGACCCAGCTCCCTCCAGACACAGTTGGCTGTGATGGATCACACCACTTATTTTGAAGGCATGGCCAGCTAGGAGACCCCCTGCGACCTCAGAGGCCAGCAGGAGGGCCTGCAAAGAGGGTTTGCGGACAGGTTCCTTTCTAGGGGAAACCCAAAGCAACAGGGGCACTCACCACAGAAAGCTTTTACTTCTCATGTGGTTTTCTGTTTTTCTACAGAAAGTCTTTCCCTAACAAGGGTGAGGAACATCTTCCCCAAGGGCCATAAAAGGCCTGTGAAATCATCTGGCTTGGCCCTGTCAAGGCAACCACAGGCGGGACTCAAATTTACTAAATCTCTACCAAGTTCATTTTTCAGGTGATGATTTTGTATGCCTCACAAATTAGGTTACTAAACACTCAGACCCTGGAAGCTAGTAGTTAAACACCGGTAAACTTTTAGAAGTTCACAAAGAATGTGGGAGGGGTGATCCGAAGATCAGCCCCGAAGACTGATGGGACCCCACCATTTTAGACCTACCACAGCTTTAAGTAGTTGCTTCCCTTAGGGTTCCGTTGCCTTAAGTTTCTGTTTCATTTGCCCTAAGTTTTGGTTTCATTTTTGTAAAGTCTTGTGCTATTTGATTACACGCCCAATTTTGTACCTGACAACCCTACCCACCAATCCCTTGCGCCCTAAATCCCCAGCCCTGCTTCCAGTGCATCTTACCAGTCCCTGCAACCCTGTACTCTCAATGCCCGCCCCTATGTTCTCATTTTCTCTCTCCTTCTCTCTCCTCCCCCACCTTTTGTAGGCTTGAGGCCCTCTTTCTCCCCCACTGGGACCCTTCTGTCTCTCTCTGTCTCTCTCTGCCTTTCTCTGCCTCCTCTGTTCCTTCACACACACACACACACACACACACACACACACACACACACACACCCGTCGAATAAAAATCCCGTGTGGCTCGCTGGCATCTGGTGTCTTGGGTAAATGGCAAAAATTTCTAACAGAATGGGACTGCAAGATGCATTTACTTGGGTGCAAAATAAATTTTAAAATAAACTCTCTTCATAGCATGTATTACACATAAGCTTTTCAAAGCACCCCCAAACAGCCACCAAAGCTAAGGACAACTGGACCAAGACAGCCGCGTTCCTGCCTCCTGCCACCTCCTTGGAGCTCCAACGCAAACCGCCCCGACAGAAGGTGCTAACCCAGGGCCGTGGGCTGGAAGAACCAAGCAGCTCTGCTACCTTGCCTTTCTTTTCTACATTGATAAAGGTTCAGAGAGCAGTGAGTGAGTAGCAACCACCTCCCCCACCTCCCCACACACACAACCAGCAGCGGGGCAGCTGCCCTTGGGAAACACTAGTTAAGCTGTACCTGGGAGTCATTTTTGCCACCTGTGAGTCAGACAGTTTAATCACTGGCAGATTTTCTGGGGTTCAGCCTAACATCGTTTGTCTAGAGAAACGAAGCCTGACCAGTGCTTAGTCAATCTGATTATGCACAGACCCACCCTGCCATCACAAAATCTCAAGTTAGGGGAACAAAAGGGAGGGGGCCCAGCAAGTTAGCCTTAGTGGCTAAAGTCCTTGCTTTACATGCACCAGGATCCCATACAGGTGCTGGTTCTACTCCCAGCGGCCCCACTTCCCATCCAGCTCCCTGCCTGTGGCCTGGAAAAGCAATCAAGGACAGCCCAAGGCCTTGGGACCCTGCACCCACGTGGAAGACCTGGAAGATGTTCCTGGCTCCTGGCTTCAGATCGGCTCAGCATTGGCCATTGCAGCCACTTGGGGAATGAATCAGCACATGGAAGATCTTCCTATCTGTCTCTCCTCTTTGTAAATCTGACTTTCCAATAAAAATGAAAAATAAATAAATCTTTAAAACAGCAGGAAGCAGCGAGGCCAGGAAAACCAAGAGACTGCATCTCACGGAGCCCACTCCAGGACAGCAAGCTTGCAAAGCACAGCCACAGAGACAGGACCTTGGGGACAGCCAGATTCTTACCCGTTTGTTATCTGCAGGGCTGTGGTAGAACTGGGCCACTACGGCCTCTGTGTTATTTCCAACGCCGAAGTTCAATTTCTCTGAGATCTTATTGAATGACTTTCCATAGTCATAAGACACATACACCTAGAAGAGAGAGAAGGGACGAAGAAGAAAAAAACAGATGATCAAAAAAAAAAAAAAAATCAAGCAGAACAAACACTCTTGTTACCTCAACTTTCAAATGTCCCACATCCCAGGATCATGAACGTGGCTCCCATTATATTAGTCCCTGCTGTCGTGAAATTACAGAAATTACTACATAAAATCCACAAAGGTACTTCTAGAGTGATCACCGAGGATGTGAGGAGCAAAAATCATGGGAGCACGGTAGCCACGTGCCCCTTTCCCGGGGGACCAACATAAACTGTGGAGTCCTGACCCAGGCTGCCTGCCTTCAAAGTCAGTATTTCAAGGTCACTCATCCACCTTGGGTTGGGATGGTACAATCAAAACCACCAGAAATTTCTGGATCCAGACTTTATCTACTACCTGTGAGATATTAACATAGTCAAGATACTGAGCAGGTTAAAATCAAGCCTAGTCAACAACCATAATCACATATTGTTAAGTTATCAAATAATTTATAGGAAAGATAGTTAAGACAAACAAAAAAGGAAAAAAATGGCAGGATCCCAAGAAGCATGGGAATAAGCAGCCTCATCCCGGAAGGTGTATCCCCAGTCATTCTCATTTGATTCAATAGCACACATGGTTTGAGGGTTCGGGCAATCCAGTACTATATGAGCACTAGATATTCTCACACGGTATGACAACTCAGTGAGCACGTCAACCTGTGTCTGCCAACAAGGCCGCATGGAAACAGCAGAGGAGAGCAGGTCTGTACAAAGGCAACTGAGGCCACATGGCAGCCGTTAATATTTAATAGTTGTCAAGTCAGAAGCACCTAACAGACTCTGACTTTATGCGGGTCACTGCGGGCGGAACTGTGAGATACACAAAACAGGGGCTCCTAACAACCAAACAGAATGGGGCAGCCCACACTCCAATAGGGTAGGAGTTCACAGAGAACCCACGTTGGGGAAAGACAAAACAGAACTGTCTCGCTTGCATTCTCCTGGCCAGGCAGGGACATGAAGAATCCTGCTGTGGTTTAGTTGTTGCATGGAGCAAGTGCATGCCTCTCAGGAAGGGAACTAAGGCCCTTTCCTGTCCCCACACCTCATGTGTATAATAGGGTAACACTTGCTACCCTATTATATTACTACACTGTGTACTCTATCTCTCTCTTCATCTTTAAAACCCTGCAGGTGCAGTAGTCATTTGGCCAAGCAGTTAAAATGCGAGTTAAGACACCCTGTTTCACAGCAGAGCACCTGAGTGGATGCCTGGCTCTAATTCCCAATCCCAACTTCCAGGAACCTGGAGCCTGGGAAGCAAGGGATGATGGCTCGAGTAACTGGGTTCCTGCCACCTGCGTAGGAGACCCGGATTGAGTTCCCAGCTCTCAGCTTTAAGCCCACTCACTCCAAAACCCCTACAGATTCTGCAGGCACTTGGAGAGCGAGGCAGCACATGAGAGGACTGTCTGGAGCCCGTTCATACTCTCTCCCTCCACCCCATCCAACTCTTTGTCTCTCAAATAAATACATAAAAACCCTGCAAAGTGGTCTTACTCTTAGTGCACCTGTATCAACACAGGCACTCAACCAAGTTTTCTGGAAAGAATTAAGTCTTATCAGCCAAAGAATAAATGAATGTGTTACACAAATAAAACAGAATGAGTTGAATGAACCATGAATGATTGAGAACACAATCATCCGTCAGTCTGTGGGAACAGGGTCTGTGATCCCCCATCCCCAAATACCACAACCCATGCAGATCCCAGATCCCTTCTATAAAATGGGCAAGTATTTGTACAGAATCTGGGTACATCGTCCCATAAACCTCAGATCACCTCCAGACACATAAAAAATCTAGCACAATGCACAGTTAACAGAAATAGTAAAATGACACAGAACAAAAGTCTATATAGGTTCAGTGCAAAAGCAATTTTTTTTCAAAGGCTTTCACTTCATGGTTCATTGAACCCTTGGATACACAGGACCCCCTATATAATCCAGGGGACTGGAGGGTAACAGGAGAGGAATATAAGATACAGAAGGCATCACACTGGCAGTGCTCCAACCGCTTCACAGCGCTGCTTCTCACTGGTTTAATACGCTACAAATGACTCAGCAAGACACTGGGCAACAGATTCAAGTCTAGACATGTGGGCAGGGACCCAGGATAGGCACTCCGCACTGGCTCCCAGAAAAGACCACAACGTAGGGAACAAGGCTTTATAACTACTACCCCAATGACAAGTGAGAGGATCAGAAGAAGGTAGACCCCAAGGTTCAAGGCAAGACCAAGGCAGGAGTGCTACCTAACTTTCTGACTGCATGGCCTGAACAGAGAATGACACCAATCTCCCAGGAGCCAGCGAGGTGTTAGTGAGCAGACCCTGCTCCCACTCACTCCTACTAGATGCCAAGGCACACATCACAGCATACATCACAGCACCCAGGGCTCTTGAGCACCAAGTCCCATCAGTCACGGCATCCTCCCTGCTTACTTCTGACCTGATGGTGGATTCTAAGCTGGGGTAGCTCCTTGGGTCAGTTAGGTTGCATCTGACTAGTTTATAAAATATGCTGGGCATAGGTGGGCATCAAAAAATTCTTGGAAAATTTACATCATCTTTGACTCTCATTTTTTCCCAATTTTCCAACATTTTTTAGAAGCCCCTGCATGTATATATACAACCAGAGCAGAAACACAGCTACGAAGGAGTAAGATAAGCAATATCTAGTGTTCCCATTCACAGATTTCTCAAGGAGAACAATCAGGCAAGTCATCACATGAAGATTCTTTTTTCCTCTCTCTCTGTTTAAGAATAAACTCTCCACATCCACCCCTTCCCTACGCTGCATATGCGTGGCCTGGGCTCTTCTCCGGGACTGGCAGAGGCCTGCCATGTGTAGGTTCTTTCCCTGCTGGGCTGTGGACCAGGTTCTCAGCCTTCTTTAAGGCAGGACTGGATGGTGACAGCTCTGGCACCACCCCCTCCCACTTCTGAGTCATCATTTATTTTTGCATTAACTTTTCACATCAGAACAACTCGGCAGCCTCTGCCAATTCTCTAGGGCCATTGGTATACACATGCAGGAAATGTCTGCCACGCCGATTTATTAACTCTGGCCATGAGTGGGTTTTCCATTTTACTCCAGAACAGTTTATCACTTTAAGTGTCCGGCGGGCTCTTACTTAGACACATCCATACCTCCAGGCTGAGGAAGAAGAGTTGAGTTTGAACAGATGGGCAATGCTGCTGAGCCCAACCACCCTGTCTGATCCAGGACACAGGGGATGCCAGGACGTGGGGCTTTCAGTACAAAGACCCTTCAGACAACACCACATTCTCACACACCAGATGCATGCAAGACAGGGTCTCAACTCCCATCAGTCCTGACTTCTTCAAGTCCTGGGGTCCTGGGCAAGCCCCTCCATGCTGCAAAGCTTCTGTTTAAAACAATTGTAAGATCTTGCAGGAATTTCACACATAGACACTATATATATATATACACATAGATATTATCTATGTATGTATGTGTATATATTGTATATTATCTATATTATATATCTATATTGTATGTTATATATTATAGCAATATATAATATAGATAATATATAATGTCGATATAATATAGATAACATCTATATTATATATTATCTATGTATATATGTATATTATCTAGGCAAAGAATTGTTTTTTTATTTTTATTTATTTGACAGGAAAAGAGACCAAAAGAAAGAGCCCCCATCTACTGGTTTACTCACAAAAAGCCCATAATAGCTAGGACTGGGCCAGGCAGAAGCCAGGAGCCAGAAACTCAAGCTAGGTGTCCCATGCGGGTAGCAGGGACCCCAGCCCTCGAGCCCTCACCTGCTGTGGCAGGGTATACATCAGCAGGAAGCTGCATCAGAAGCAGAACCGAGACTCCAACCTAGGTAGTGACGTGGGATGTGGCTATCTCAACAGCTACGCCAAATGCCCACCACCTGGCAAAGAGTTCTTAAAATCCTAAAGACTTATCAACCTAGATATCTGTTTCCCATGCTCTAAGAAGATACCTCCAGGCAGCAATGAGTGGCTACAGACAGCCTCTCTGGGCCCCCAGGCATTCACAGGGGCTACCTGTGGCTGCAGCCGCCACTCACAAACTCTGTTCACATTGATCAATGGGCTCCAAGCAAGTCTCGCACTGCTCTGGAGCAACAGCCCCAGGCTGTCTGTAGCTGCTATGATGTCCTACACACCCTGGCTAAACACCCACATCAACAAGGCTGTACATTCCTACAACCAGCCCTTCTGCCAGTCCTCCTCTTCTGTGGCTGCCTCATCCAACCCCCTAGAAACAACCCCTGGAGTTCACCCCAGTGTTTACCTCTGAATGCACCTACTCCAAATAGTAGGTAGACAGAGACCTTAAGGATCTCAGAGAGACCAAAGCTAGAAGTGTCAACTTCAGGCTGATGTGAAAGTGAGTCTGAAGTGAAAGGTTTCTTCTGCTAGAACACAGGTGACTGAGTGCTACAGCATGTTGTGCTGTCCACAGTCCTGCCCTGCTCCCAGGACCCGGGTCCCTGAAGCAAGGCAGGGGCTGTGTGCCTCTTCCCCACAGGAGTTCTGGAGCAAGTGGCACAGACCTGGGATCCACAGGCCAGCTCTGACCTTCAGGCATGCCTTCCCTGGCTCCCATGGTATTTGCAGAAACTATACATTAGATGCCAACTTATTAAGACTCAATAGTTTTCATATACAAATCCAGACCTCAAGGCTTCTGAAACAACAACAACAACAATAACAACAAAATCCGAAGAGCTGGAAAAACACTGGGCCTGTATCCCACATGGCAGTTAGAGCCTAGAACTGCCTAGGACAGCCTAGAATAGCCACGGACCCGCTGAAGCATTTTTTTCTGTGTCACAGTTCACTGCCCTTCCTAGTCACTCTAAACCAAGAAATACACACAAACACACACACACACACACACACACACGCACACACACATGAATATGAGATAGTTCCAACAGCTCACTCCACTGTAACGGGTTAGAGGAAATCAGAAGATGGGGAAGACCCATTTGATTCCATGTAGCTCAGTCACAGGTAGGGCAGCTCTGCCCAGGGAACACTGTGGCCCTGGGCTGAGCATCTATGACAACCCACAACAGACTCCCTTATTTCACAGAGAAACCACAGACAACATGCACCTGTCTGTAGAACTGACTGCATCTCCCCGCGTTCCACAATCAAGAGATCTATGTATGGATGTATTTCCAGATCCTCTTTCCTGCCATACAACCCATCCCACCATTTTTCCTAGCATTCAATCCCAGCGGATCAGGGCAGGGCATGTTGACAGTCCTCAGGGCAACACCCACTACTCACATCACTGCTCCTGGGCCTGGCCAATGCCAGGCTGTCCCGGGCTAAGGCCACGATCACGTTGCTCTTCTCTCCAGCCCAGTGCACCACCATCTGATTGTGGGAATCATTGAGGCTGACCTGCAAGAGACCAAGAGAAGAATTAGAGCCCGGAGGAGTACTGGCCACAAACACTGTAAATGAGGGACTCTCCTTCCCCATCACTCACACCTGAAGCACCAGGCCAAGGTACTTTAGGGTGCTTCTCCCCCACTACATGCATTTGCACCTCCCCCAAGGAGGAACAGGAGCTCAACTGCAGGAAAACCTCCTTCACACATCCTCATCGGCACAACTACAACCCATTTTCTTTTTCTTTTTTTAAATATTTATTTATTTTTATTGCAAAGTCAGATATACGGATCAGAGGAGAAACAGAGAGGAAGATCTTCCATCTGATGATTCACTCCCCAAGTGACCACAACAGCTGGAGCTGAGCCAATCCAATACCAGGAGCCAGGAGCTTCTTCAGGGTCTCCTATGTGGATGCAGGGTCCCGAGGCCTTGGGCTGTCCTCGACTGCTTTCCCAGGCCACAGGCAGGGAGCTGGATGGGAAGTGGAGCCTCTGAAACATGAATTAGTGCCCATATGGGATCCTGGCGCATGCAAGGTGAGGACTTTAGCCACTAGACTACTGCACCGGGCCCCCACAACCCATTTTCATTCTTGCTGACATAGTCGATCTCTAGGAACTCTCACCCTTACTCCACACACAGATGCGAAAAGCACATCGGAGGCTTTAAATCTCAGCACTGAACCACCTCCCTCACTCAACCACAGGACACATAGACCAAAAAGACTCCAAGCATCTCAGACTTCTGCTCAAACTAGTGGCAGCACCTTGATTCTCCCTTAACACATTACAAGAAAGGAAAGGAAGGCTGTGCTTTTGTTTCCTTAGAGAGGAGGGGATTAATTTTGAAGGCATCTGGAGTATAGAAGTATTTTCAGAACTCACAGAAATGACCTATAAATTATTGCTAACAGAACTTCTCACGTAAACCAGTGAGCAGGACGACTGCCGGCTTACAACTTACCTATGTGTCAGGTAAGGACACGAACAAAACCACCCACCACAGTGCCACCCAGCAGCTCCCCATCTGTCTCCTCTTCCTCCTGAGGACCTGAGAGATTCCTGCCCAGGACAGAGACAGCAAGCTGTGGCCCTGGGACTCAGCCATGAGAAACAGTCCTTTCCCCATCCACAGGCTGCATTCAGAGGACCCCGAGTTCCAGCGGAGAGCAGAGTGCCAAGATGGAGGGAGCCCAGCGCCTGAGCAGGCCATCCATTTGCCTTGAACTTCTGACAACTGGAAGGCATTTGCACACTTAAACCCTGAGCTTTGTTATCCATCTCTCATGTAGCTCCACTTAGCAAGCAACAGGACTATTATCTAGAGTGACCACCAATTTGTTTACTACTTTCATTTACTGTATTTATCCAATTACCTAAGGACAGGCCAAGATACAGCGCCTACCTGTTGGTTCACTCCCTCAAATGCCCACAATGACCAGACCTAGGGCAAGGGCAGGGCCAAAGCTGGAAGCCAGGGACTCAATCCATTCCTCTTCACATAGATGGCAAGAACTGGCCCATCACTGCTGCCTCCCCATATCTGCCCAACAGAAAGCTGGACTCAAGAGCCAGAAATTCAAACCAGATACCATCTCTTAAAGAGAACATACTGGAACACTCAAGACTGGGAAAGGATATAATCTCAAGAAAAAAACATTTCTCTAGCTTTATGAAAAACAGCCTCCATTACTTAGAATTCTCTTATGTCACCACTCATGGATGGATCCCAGTTCAAGATAACCTGAGTCATACCTTTCACCCACCCGGTACACAGACACCAAATGGATGACAACTTCATTTGAGCATCTCTCATGTGATTATCCCAAAACTCAAAATGCTCCAGAATGAGAAGCTCTGTGAGGGCTGACATGACCCTGTAAGTGGAAAATTCCACACTGTGAGATGAGACCTTGCTTCATGCACAAAATTATTTCTATAAAATTACCTTTGGGCAATATGTGATTGTGACACATAAATGAATTTCGTGTTTAGACTTGGCTTCCATCCCCAAGATAGCTCCTTGGGCTATACAAATCTTCCAAAATCCAAAACACTTCTCTTCTCAAGGATTTCGGATAAGGAACATTGGATCTGCCCTAGAAAAATTTCTGAGAGCTGGTACAACCTTCAGAAGGAGAACAAAGTCCCCGAAGTGAGAAGCAAGCGCCAAGCGATGCCCAAGTCGTCACCTTCCTCAACCACCACTGTCTTAGACACAACCAGAAGGAAATCCAGCAGTTGTAGGCCTCTGAGGAACCTCCACCTCTCTGCCCATCAGCAATAGCACTGACTCAAGTTCAAGTGCATGTGACCACTGCCCAAGTCCTGCAGCACAAAACCCTCTCTCTCCGAGGGCTCCTTTCTCTTTATTTCCCTTCCTTCCCCACCCCTGTGCCCTGACTCTCCCTCCCTGCTCCTGGAGGTGCTTTCAGAAGTCACCAGGGAGAAGAGAAACACCTGCGCCACAACCTTGGCCGATAGACCCACAAAGGAGCTAATCCATAGCAACTCTACTCTGGTTTTGCAAGTGCCTGCTTCTAATTTGATACTTTGATGCAGGATCCAAACTCTTTTTTTTGAAAAACAGTGGGAAGGAGACCTCTTTAAAGGAAAAAAATATATATATATGTACATATATATGTGCACATATATATGCATATGCATGTATATATACATATATGTGTATGCGTGTATATATGTACATATGTATATATATCCTTGATATTTTTATAGGAAAACCTGTCATTCTACAGTGCCCCTTCCCATTCCCAGATGGGTTAAGTCCAGGCAAGTATCAACAGAGAAGTGCAAATCACAAACAGAAATAAATACCTTAATTAACACAGACTGCCACAGAGAGAGCAGCCAAGGGCCTCTACAGGACCCTGCGGTCTGCCTTCCCTTTTCTGTTCTCTCCTTCCAACCTAGACCTCTGGAAAGAAACCTAGGGGCACCCGCAGACCCCAAGAACACCAGTAAAGATACCGTGGGGAATCCAAGCTCAAAATCTTCTCCCTTCCAAAAACATCCTTATCCCAGGAACCAAAAAGGAGTAGAAAACTATGCAAATATCACTACTGGCACAAAAATTAGGGACAATCAGTATGACCTGAGTTCACCCCATCTAGAATGAAAGAAGCGCTCTGTAGGCCTCAAAGATGCCCCGTGAAAATGCTCCCTGGGGCAGGTAACAAGCAGCTAAAGCTTTGAACAGGACACTAAGCTTTTAGCCATCAGAAGGCAAAGGGACCTGCAAACAACCAGCTGGAGTGCACCTGCTCTGAGGACTCATGAGACCCCTCAGCCAACCCGAAGGGCTGAGAGGTGCACAAAGGACAGACATCAAAATACCCCCAGGTCTGGAAGGCAAGCTCGGTGAATGCCGTGACAAAAAGCAGCCTTTCTTATCAGATGTCCTTTTGATTCCTAAGAGCAGAATGCAAAAGGGCAGCCCAGTGGAGGGGGAAAAAAAAATTCTACTGGCAAGAAATGGCTTGTTATGAGGGCCACCAGGCAGGCATTCACACACAAACAGTTCCTCTCCGTGGCTTGGCAAGATGTCAGGCACATCCTGGTCATGAGAATAACTCCCTGGTGAGTCACGGCTGATCCCAGAGGCAGCCCAGGTGCCCATCCCCCCAAAAGCACAGGCGCTGTGTCGGTGGCATCCACAGGATGGGGGTGGGAGGGGAACCAGGCAGGTGGTGGGCTGTAAATTTCACCAAGGCCAAGACATTCTGTCTGCACTCTGGCCTCCCCTTCCTCCGCTCTCCATCCCTGCCCCCTCCGCAGGGATCTCAGCAAAGCAGGCTTCTCCTGCTAGCTCCCCAAGGAATGTGCCAGAAAAAAATCAGCAGCGAGCACAGCTCCCAGCAATCACCATCCACGCTCTCAGGTCCTCGGGCTAGGCCCCTGGACTTCATTAGTGGTTTCCAGTGGGTTTGGATCCCATGCTCAGGGATTCCCCCAGCAACACTGGTTATCCCCTCCACCAGCATTTCCCATCACTGGCCCTTCAAGGCAGCTGCAGGCTTCCCAATCACTCTACAGCTCCTCTCACTCCGATCCCACAAACAGACCCACACGACCATGGTTTGGGGAGGGTCTCAATGAGTGGTGGGAAGGTGGTTTTTCCAAGAATATAACTTTGATGCACAGCCAGTTAAACTCATAGCTTGGGGCATGAACAACCTTCCCTCTCCCATCTCCAGCTCACTGGGCCTAGCTGCAGCTTGATAAATGAGACACAATTATAATCGACGCTGTTAAGGCAGCTAGGAGGAGGTAGGGCCCTTCACCACAGATGCAAATCAAGACCCCACCTGAATACAGAAACCGAAGCAGAAATCGCCTGCAGGACCAGGGAGGGGGCTCCAGACCTCTGCTGCATTCACAGGCAGGTCGTTGGGAGAGAAGCTGAGAAGTCATCTGCTTGGGGCGCCAGCCAGCATCACCTGTGAGGACCCCAGTTCAAAGCCCCTAAGGGAACCCAATTATATTTCTTCAATGGCTCTCGTTTAGGAAAAATGACTCCAGTCCATCCCCCTGGCCCCTAGTGAGCCCTGGAATGAAACCACTGTGGACACGCTTTGCGGGAGGTGAGGTGGTATTCAGGAAAACGGCATGGTCATTAAGACTCTAGGATGAGGGGCAGGCACTTGGCACAAGGATGAGGGCACCACTTGGACCATCCGCACTCATCCCATATCAGAGTGCCTGAGTTCCAGAACCGGCTCCACTTCCCATTCCCGCTTTCTGCTCATGCACAACTGGGGCTACATCAATTACCTGGGTTCCTATCATCCAATGTGGGAGACCCAGACTGAGTTCTAGGCTTCTGGCTTCAGCTTTGCTCAGCCCCAACTACCGGTAGGCATTTGGGGAGTGAACCATGAACCGGCTCATGAGAGTTCATTCTCTCTCTCTCTCTCTCTCTCTCTCTCTCTCTCTCTCTCTCTCTCTCTTTCTCTCTCACGAGCAATCTCTGTCAGACAAATAATTAAC